ATCCCATTTTCATTCATATATTGGCATGGACTGTTGCTAACTGTCATTAAAGGGAGTTCTGCAACACCCTCAACTGCTCTTTGAGGAAGAGTTTTGTATTAATGTATCTCCATTAATGTATCTCCACGTGGGGGAACAGACCAACCCATCTGGAAATGGGACACTGGGAAATACCTGCCAGCCTTTAACAGGGGGGATCTTCTGAAGGTACTTTAGACATTTGACTTCAGTTGAAGTTTGTAGGGTAGACTCTTCAGTGCTTTACAATACTTGCCTGTCAATCACAGTCCAACTTAAGACTTCACTGTTTCTCTAGTAAAGTTACTTCCTTTCCCTGAAGCTGAAATAAAGAGGTGAAAAGTCCTTCTATTTGTTATTTTGCTTGAACCTTATTAGCCTTTAAGTGCCATTTAAAAAAAATCTCAGTCCAGGAGGTGGTATGTTGCTTCTGAGCAAAGAGGACATCCAAAAAATATCTTCTGTTACATTCTTCTTGATGCAGGCTCCTGTCATAGCAGCTGTGCAGGGCACAGGTTACCATCCCCAGTTACCTCATTTTCAGATTTACTGGTTGAGCTGTTGTGACAAGTTACTGCCCAGTCACCAGGCAAAGTCACCAACAGGGTCTGGGGCCATGCAGCAAGTAACGTTAGAGATCTATTCTCCTGCAGCTCTCGATGAACCAGACATAGGAAATCACTGGCTAAAAAGCCTGTGCAGCCTTGGAGAGCAAACACAGGTTACTTTTTAAATACTCCTTCCAGAAAGAGACAGAGAAGCCAGTAAGTTTTCCAGTCTAGTTTGGGCTGTTCATTTATGGCACCCTCATTAATCCACAAGGAATCATTACAGTTACACTGTTGCCATAAAAAGCGGTATTTAAACAGCTCTAGGAAGGAATTATTTTATGCACTTCCTCCTGTAATTCCTTCACACTGATCTTAAGCTTTATTTTCATAGAAGGGAAGAAAAACTGCTTCCCTGGTTCTCCGAGCATCTTCGATTCTGCCTCTGAATTTTAAACAAAACAAAAATACTCCCACAAACCTATAGATGTATTTTAAAGTTGCCTGAACCGAAGTACCACTTGGCAAAACAAAGGCAAAGATTGCCCCAAACCAGTTGTAAGCTTACCTCTTCAGGGTCTGTTTCTCAGAGAGGAAGAGCAAAGCTCCCTCTCACCACTGGCAATCCCCCCACGACCACCTTCTCCCCATCTGTACAAATCAGAGGTGAGGCATTAACCAGGCAGCTGTAGCACAGACCTCTACTCCTGTAAGGCTTCCAGCCATGCTGCCCTTGTGAAGGTTCTCATTTAGATTCAGCCCTGCCCGTGGCCACCTGAAAATCTTTCACAGTTCACAAGGTCTCTTGCGTTTGTGTGCGCTGATAAAACAGTTCTTGTTTTCCTGCTTAATAACGTTGTCTGCAACTAGTGTTGCCAGTTCTGAAATAGTAAATGCAGTGACTGAGCCAATGGAATGTTTGGAAAGGTGCAAATTCAAATTAGAAAATACTACATTTTAGTGTAGGTACACCTGTAAAGGGTGCAGGTAATGCTGATTATGGCATTTCTGAGCTTTTTGTGTATAACCTCTCCACCTCAGCATTCACCTTAACATAAATGCTTATAAAGTTCACACTTTGAAACACCAAAATAATATTTTATAAACATAATATTTCTATCAGCTGTGTGTAACTCTAGCTTTTCAATAACTCATTTTTTATTATTTTCTTATTATTAATACCTGTATTGAAAGAATCAACTTACGAACTACAGCTAATTGTGTTTCTACATGCTGTTCTTTTTCACAGCAGAAATAAGATATTCCATTGCTTGAGCTGAAAAATATATTAATAGATTTTGATTAAAATTATAAAAATCTGATTTAATATACTCTGAAAATTTAGCAGCTACAAGCTTGTTAAAATAATAAAATTTAAAACTTAGTATAAACATTACCGTAGATTTTATTAACAATGAAAGCTATAAGAGCTGCTTGGAAGCAGTGCAGAGGAACAGAGGTCATTGATTTTTTTGTCATTTCAGTGGAGGTTTCATTACTGTGTCCCCACAATAATGTTTTTCATCTGAATTCCAGTGCATGCTAAAGCAGAGGGATGCTGGTTTGGGCACAGACTCTCCATCTTCGAGAGGTCATGGTGATCACAGTCACATGCTCAGAGTTTCAGAACAATATATTTCACATTAGTAAATCTGTAGAGGTTGATTAAAGTGCAGCATTCAGAACAAAATAATGGTATTTTACCTATTCTCAACTAGTTTGAAACTGAATCGTTTCCTTGTACTTTCCGTGTTTTGCTGTACTGCATTTCCAAAAAACTCACTCTCTTTTCAAACTGCCATACTGTTGAACACTGTAAAATGTTGGGATGGTAAATTGTCAAATCCCTAATCCACACTGCAAATTGAAGCACTTCTCATATTTGAGTAGGTTCCTAAAAAAAGCACAATAATTCTGATATGGAGTCCTTGTTTTTTGAGAGTTCTGCTTCAATCTGCATAAATCCCCCTTTATTCCTCCTCTCTGCCTCCGCTTTCAGCAGCCTCGGGTCCATTTACAAGATTAGTTTCCTTGTGCAGCTGCCAATCATTTCCTCCTGGCTGTATTTTCATTTTGTTTTGATTCTCCACTTGGTCTGTATTCTCTAAGTTTTCCTCCCTTCCTTCAAAGAGACAAGATGATGAACTTGTTTTCCTCGAATAATCTTAGTCCTGTCAGTTTTAAGTGGAAAACCAAAAATTGTTTGATCTGTATTGCAGCATGTGGTCCTGCCTGCATAGTACTCCAGAGACATAACTACTTCAGTGTCTCAGATCCATGACTTTTTTCCCTCTTATCCCTTTGATAACTTCATCTGATTCTCACTGTGGTCTTCTTCTGTGAGTGTAGAGGACCACTGATATCCACCTAAGTATTCACACCTTTACTGACTCCCTCAGCTTGGCATTCAAGGTGTTCACAGTAATTTTGTGCCAGCTGGCGCCTGGAAAAATAACTTGCATTGTGGATGCTCTTCTTGTTTAATCCAGAAGCCCCTGGCTGTAAGGGTTGTACAGTTTGCAAGGGTTAAGAATGCCCACTTCTCATGCACACACAGCCCAAGTTAAAAAAAACAACAAATAAAACTGAAGTATTTGTAGCTCCAGTGAAATTCAGGCCAGTACTATCCACAGGGATTGTGCATCCAAGGAACCGTTTAAGTTAATGCCAGGAAAACAGTGACTTGTTCCCCGGCTGTGCCATGTCAGCAAATAGGAGATTGGCATTTGTCATTGTGGACTTAATGAAAGTGCTTGTTGTAGCTGTTTCTCTGGCTGATTTGAATTTTTATTTTGTTTATTAGGTGTAGAGTGTGAGTGCCAGGGCAAAATGCTGGTTTATATCACATCTCAATAAGATTAAATCCCCTTTCTGTTCTCTAATTAATTTCAAGGATACTGAGTTGCTTTCCCAGAGAACTTGCGGTGATCTGTAGATGTGTCCCAGGTTACAGAACAGCTCTGGATTGAAACAGGAAGGGATGTGCTCTGTGTGAGATATTGTGGGGCAGTTAAAGGTGCAGATGTTCAAACAAGGCATCAGGTGCTTTGAGTGAAACACCTTTAGTAGAACAGAGTGACTTCTGCTTTCCCAGCTCCAGCGTCACATCCCTGCTGGAGCAGGTCTGCTGAGCACACCTGTGAGACTGAACAAAGCAGCAGGTCTGTGTTCAGCCAGTATTTCCTCTGCTGCAATAGTTAGTTTTCACTCTTGTCATAAACACAAATCCTTACAGACTAATTAACAGACCTACTGCAGCAGTAGCGCTTGTTCCCTGAAGGCTGCAAGTGGCATTTGCTTTCAAAACTGCATAAAGAGGATCTTCTCAGGATTTCATTCATTTTTGTCTTTTTTTAGCATTACTTGTGAGAGAGGGCATATGAGCCCACCTGGAAAAGGAAGTTCAGTTGTCTGGCCTATTTTTCTGAATAGCACACAGAGCTGTAATCCCACCCTGAGGGAATACACAGCATCTTTATGCCAACTGGCTTGGTCAATATGGAGCTTGTCGGTGCCAGGAGTTTTTGAACAGATGTAGCTACACAGTGTAAATGTACTGCCCTGAGATAAAGCACTGTGTGTACTTTTCTTCCCCAGTGTCACAGAAGAGGTGGCTGTGTTGTTGCAAAAAGCTCTAGTCTAGATAAACCACATGGTTTATATACCTAAAATTTTCTCCAGTTTAACTATTTCTGCTTGATTTCCCACCGTGCATACCGTTGTCCCTGGATGAGTGTGTCCAGTTCCAAGTTACTTCAAACCTTTGGAATTGGACTGTCTGATGCAGAGTAAGAACATTCAGGCAGAAGTTAAATAAGGAATAGTTAGCTCAACTCTGAATTCACTCTGTGCATTTGTCTGGATTGACTCCCATGCACTGACATACTCCTAGTTAATTCAGTTGCCAGAGAAAGGTACTGTTTAAAAGTTAACATTGTGTTGATAAGGGGTTTTCAGGCAGAATCAGTGTGTGAATGCAGAGAAATCCAGTGCCTGACCTTTTGTTTGTACCTTCTCTTGAGACTGCTGGCAAGAATCTTTAAGTGCTCCTGTTACAGTTGATTTTGGTGGTGTGAACACCTGCCTGTTAACAATTAGAATAAAACTCACGAGCTCATTTCCTGGAAGGCGGGAGCGATCAGACGTAATTACTGCAGGCTTTATTGATCTGATGGGGATTTGGAGGGCCAGCAGACAGCCTCAGGTTTCCATGGCTAAATAAAAATCCCTGAGTCTCTGAAGTCCTTTGCACAAATGAATTCTTCCCCTTTTACAGACCTCTCTGAAATCGAGACATGTCTGTCTGAAGACTGAGCTACAGATTTTCCCCGAAAGTTTTTGCAAATGGTCTTTTTTCAGTAGTGATTTTTTTACTTTGTTCTGTATAGGTGGAAGCCTCACTTGACAGTAACACTGAAATCTCCCCTGACCTAGGTGGAAGCCTCACTTGACAGTAACACTGAAATCTCCCCTGACCTAGTTTCTGTTCTCGGCAGCACAGGGTAAAGTATGCTTTTGAACACAGTTTTGTTTCTGCTCTTTCCCGATTGCCTGGAACAGCAAGAGACAAAAGCAAAAGCCAAACAAAAGCAACTTTATCAGAAACATAAAAAGTCAAGGGCAGGACTTTCTCTCTGGGGACTACTTCTCTGTCCCTTATGCAAAAAAGGTAGGTGAACAGCTCTTCATATGAAAGATGCCTGCTTTCATGTACCAAACATTCACCATTTATGTAAGATTGCTGGAGAACAACAAGCTACCACTCGAGTTCCTTAAAATTTTGGCTCTTGAAGACTTTTGTGGTAGCTGCAGTAGCTTGTATATCAAGAGTTAAGGGTATCTGCCCTCCTGTGCATGAGAGGGGTGTTTTAAGGGCCAGCTCAGAACAGGATCTCTCCCCAGTAATAGTACAGTGCTTGTAGCCTCTTCCAGTCTTTGGGCAGAAGTAAGAAGTCTTTCAAATGTGCAAAATCTCTACTCCTCAACTTTGCCCTGGCCACTCTTTCTGCTGTAGAAGATTTTAGAAAGTGACAGTCCCTCCCAGTTGCTAGATTTGATGTTCAAGGACCTGTGTCACAGTCCTTGCCAATATGGCTCTACGTTTCAACTCGTCATGTCAAACACAAAGTTTGGGATTTTTTTTTTGTTTGGGTTTTGCTCATTAAACAATGAGGACTGAGAAAAAGGATTCCACTAAAAGATGGATTATATATTTATTCTTTTTGAAATATTTTTTACCAACAGAGATTACTATTAAATTTTTGAGTAAACAGTATCCACCTGAGAGAGGTAACCAAGCTGGCAGGACTGTGTCCTGCTAACACTCTAATCACCTAATTAGTGTTAATTTATGGCACTACAGGAGTGATTGACAGGAGGCTTTACAAACAGAGATGTCTGGGTAGTACATGCATCCCATATATGTGAACTATGTGGTGCTGATCTTTGGCATGGGCAGCAGTCCAAAGGAATGGTAGTGTGAAGAACCAGATATTGTTGAACTGCTGGACATCCAGTGATGCTACTGTACTGTGCCTTTTTTATCCTTGGAAATGGAACAAATAATGGTTCTCTACAGAGAGGAAGCCCAGTGGAGTTGGTTGGAATTCAGGCACAAAGAATCCAGAAGAATTTTTGCACTATTGAGGATGAAAGCATAGTAAAATAGTGGGTTTTGAAATAGAGCTCTTTTGGATTAATAAGGGAATCCTTTATGCAAAATATTACTGTAATTGCAGGCTCATATTCTGATTGCCTTATCAGGGGAGATGCATCCTCAATGGCATCTTTGTTTGTCTTACAATGGAAAGAGATAGAAAATAAGCAATTAAAACAGAGTCATTGAAATGCCACAAATCTGAGCATTCAACTATGCACTTCTAGTTAAGATTGTTGGTTAGTTTTTCTATTAAAAAAAAATTGCTGCTGTCTGTACTTGCTTTGTAGTGTGGCCAGACTACTGACAAGAGATAAATTTTCTCTTTTTGTTTCAACTGTGATCTTCTTTTCTCTCTTCCTGCTTCTCATCCTAACGCAGTCTCTTATGAATGTGCACATAGAAATGAGAGGTTAATTATCTCTGTTGTGTTCTTGGGATCCTTGTTATTCCAATGAACCTTGTAAAGAAACACTAAAGAATCTGGTACTGCTAATTTTAAAAATAGGTGGACTTTTCTCTCAATGTATATCAGCTGATATTCTGGTAGTGAATAGTGTATTTATCGAGCTTTATGAAAATGAAAAACAAACCCCTTGGTCCCTAGCTTGTGGTCTAAGTGCCACCTAGGCATGGGTAAGTCCATCATTTAATTCATATCTCCCAGGAACAGAAAATTCCCTGGGGAAAATCAGCAGACATCTTTTATACAGCGATAAGGAAATATATTTTCGAAAGGAAATGGCTTGGGTTTATCCTGTAATACCTGCTCATAACAGCAGTCTAGTATTAGTGGAAGATTAACATTATTCAGTCATTTAAATGTCAAATCTCTATGGCAAACCAGCACAGATTTTGTGTTAAATCTCAAAGACTCTTGCTTTCTAGCTGTGTGTGTGTGTCTGTGTGTCGCTTAATCTCCCTGGCCAGTATAGAGGATGTTGTGATCTCCTCATTAAAGACGTCACACTGAGAAGATTGGAGTAGAGGAATAAATAGAACAAGTGTTAGAAAACCAAGCAGCTCATCTTGGTTGAACTAAAATGCACTCCACACAAACTGCTTTCCCCATAGATTTGTTTCTCCTAGGTAAGATTCAGTTCCCGTTTTGCAGAGTATCATGCCAGCTCATTTGAGGTTCTTCTAAGTATATTTGCATCCTTTTCTGAAATGTTTTACCTCTCTGTGTAACTCAGTAGCCAATATTTTTTACAAGTTATTCCTCTGGTGGAGATAACAGATAAGGGCAATGGCTCCCAGAGAGCAAAGAGGCTCAAAACTTCACTGCTGATGTTCAGTAGGGAGCTTGAGCACTTCTGGGCTGGCAGTCTGCAGGCCTGTCTTGTTGACCTTATCCTGTATTCCTGGCCTGTGCATTGGAGTTGATCTGGGCAGAGGCTGCCAGACCCATCCAGGCTGATTCTGTCTTTCCAGGTGCCAGGGATACAGTCACAGTGTCACTGCTGACAGGTCTGCTCTTTAACCTGTGTGGAGCAATAGGGCTGTCAGATGTTCAGACACCCTTCACACATAGAGGAGATCCAACAAAACAAATACACATTTCTGCATGGCATTTTGTGAAAGGAAGGATGGCAGCCTGATGTTTAGGAGTTCAACTACTACAGGAAGATGTCTAAGATTTGAAAGATTTCCCACTGAAATGTTAAATTGTCTGTGATAACAGATTGCAAAAAAAATGAGTCCTTGCCCATTCTCAGCTGGATCTGGTGAGGCTGGAACTACTGGAAACTTTTTCAAGCAAATTAAGGTAGGAAAAGCTTATTGCTGGAACTTACTGTTTTTTTCAGAAGTTTTTTATTCCAGGACTGTGCATAGACTTTGTCCTGCTCTGATCCCAAAAGATTCTGAAAGAATATAATAAAAAAAGGGAAACAAGGCAAGATGCAGCAGGGTGGACATTTCCACACAGTGACTGCCTGCTTCCAGTCCAACTCTGGGAAGCTTCAATGGATATGGAAACAACTAATCCCAAAGTATAGTTCATTACAATACAGCATAAGGGAGTATCTCAGTGTTATGAGTCCATTTGTGGACCCTTGTAATAGAGCTGATCTGGTGGCATTCAGTTTGGAAGCACCACTCTGCCTAGCACAGAGAGTTTACTTTTAGTGTTTTAACCAGACAGCTTCAAGACTTGGCAGTTTCTGTAAAATTTCATGACTTGACCCCTGACACCCTGTGTTCAAGGAATCTGAATCTGAGGGGGCCGATGGAGTGAGGTGGTACCAGGCTGTTTGGACTTACTTCAGCAGAATATGTTTATATTGGTTCATCTCTTAGGAGTCCTTTAGACAGTCATCTCTGAATGTCATTCTGTGCAAAATGGATGGTCCCTTTGTACAAATGGAGCTTGCCTGTCCCTGCCAGCAGTGAGCAGCCGTAGCATTTGTCCCAAGACTTTGTCCTTTCAGATTTACTGCTGACTGCCTTTTGCAAAATTATTGCTGCAGTTCCCAGAGCTGGCAATTTTGAGGACAGTTTGAACACGTGAAATGTATTCTGTGTTTCCACTCACTCACTGGGCTCCCCTTCACACCCAGTGAAATGCTGTGGAAGGAAAACGTGTATATTAGAGGATGTTAGAAACCTTGTGTCAGGGGCATCACTGATTTTTCAAGAGGTGGAGATTTTTTAACTAAGGTGGCTACTTGCTTTAAATGGGCAAAGAAACAACCTGTGTTATTAAGTGCGACCCATACATGGACTTCATTGAAGCACTTTGAGCTCAAAATGTACTTGAGTGTCCAGACTTGAAAAGGAAGAGGGAATGAAGCATTTTCACAGGAACTCTGGTTGAATTAGTATGAACCAAGACAGGAATAAATGTGGTATTTTCCCCCATGACTTTCCTATTTTATAGTTTTGGTGGTTTTATGTTGTCTTAAAGAACAAGAATATTATTGATAAGTTTCAGAGGTTTAAACATTTTTCTAGCTTAGAACCATTTTGCTTCTATTGTCAGAGCTAATACAGCCATTTTGCTGTCCTGCTTTAAAACACCATTTTAGACACTAAAAAGTCCTTCTAATTCTGCAAGCAGTCCTCATTATTTCCTTCCTGCTCCCCACTTCCATTAGTAATGCTTGGCAGTGATTCAGAATCACCCTGCTTTTGAGACAAGGTGACTGAGAAACCACCAAAAGCAAAAGAAACACAGAGTGAAGGGAACCACTGGCACCCACCCCACAGCATGATTGCAGCAATCTGTGCTTCTGCAGTCACTCCAAGATACAGTAAGAGTTTCCATCAGCCAGGGAGCACAGTTCCTGGCTGCTTAAAGGGAGAGGCAGTTTGTCTGTTGAAGCACAAGTCTTGAAGCCAAACACCTCCTGAGACATCTTTCCTTTTCTCTTACTGATTCATTGTGTGGCTGTGGGCAAGTCTTCATGCTTATTTCCCAGTGTCTACCATGGGCAGTTATTAAAAAGCTACTTTGGGAACACGATTTGAAGTTTTTGAAGCACAGTGTAATGCTAGGAATGGTTTAAGTTATTAATCACTGAGCTGTAGTGTATTGCTTATTCAGTGGGACATCCTGTCTCTAGTTAATTGATGGGTTTGCCTCCTGTCTGGGGTAGCCCAAGGCAGATGACAGTGACAGTGTGAAGCTGTGCAAACGGGTAGCACAGTTCATGCAAAAGCCAAATCTCTCATCAATTTCCAATCTGCAGATCTGTGCTTAGAAGTACATGATATAGTAATACTTCTTATAAATTACATATTATTCTAAAATACATTGAACTGATAAATCAGTGGATTATCAGAAGTAGTCTTTGGAGCTCAGTAGGCTGGTGTGCTAGAGAGCTCTGTGAGGAGAGACGTGAAGTGAAGGAGAGAAAAAAGAAATTAAACATTAATGGGGAAAAAAGCACGTAGTCACAAGATAACCAGTGGCAGCTGGAAGTCATTGAGGCTTTTTGTGTTGTCAGTTGCTTATTTTACCAGGGGGACACTTTCAGCCCGAAATATTGCTTGGAGTTCAGAGGATGGATAAACGGAACAGCGGGGGGACCTGCTGATGCTCAGCTTTGCCATTCTCAATAAACATCACTTTGCTCAATAGAGAAATTATTGCAGAGGCCTTCGAGGAACAAAGGCATCGACTGGCCCCAAGCAGTGCTGATAAAACTGCCTCTTTAGAGCCTTTTAGGTTTGCTTTTTCTCCACTTTTCACACAAGGCTACAGGTCATTCAAGTGAAACTATATGAAAATGCCAGCTAAGCAGCCATGTTTATCCCATTTAAAAATTTGATCAAAGAAGTCTTTGTTCCTCTGCTCAGGTCTGTGCCCTGTCAGTATGGGGAAGTGTGAGGATCCTTTTAGACATGTAAAAAAAAAATCCAGTACTCCAGTGTTGCAAAAATGACATGAGATGAAGCCAAGCTTTCTTCTATAAGCAAGCCAATATAATGCATATTTTAAAACAACTGAATAATTGTATAAAATAAAGAGGCATATCAAGGTTTAAAATACCTAATTCCATTAAAACTAATTTTGTGACATGACTGTTGTGACATCCTGCATTTCAACTCTGTTAAAGAACAATAGGCCATAACAATTTACAGGGAGGTAAATTCCTCTGAGGGTTTCTGGTTGCAACCTTATCTATGAAAATGAAGTTATTCACCAGAACCCCTAGATTATTTCCCTGAAAATCCCTCTAGTTCACTTTTTGCTGAGAACCTTGAAATTTTACCATAATAGTTCATCTGTGATTAAGTGATTGAATGTTCCAAAGTAGTTAAGACAAAATTGTTTCAATCGCTGAACCACTTTCAGCATTCACTTGCAGAGAGGAAAATTGATGTGCTAAAATTAAAAAGTGGACAAACTTATTCCAAATTGGTTTGGGGGGTTAAAGAATTTAACTTAATTTTAAGCATTCTGGATGTGGCTCCTCAAGCTGTCCTGTAACCTGTCTCACCTTTTGATACAGATGAGGCATCTTCTATAAGGAGGTTCCAGTGGGTTATGTTTCAACTGTATTTTCAGTTTCTCTTGTATATGTGCTGTGTCTATTAGCTTTCTCCTTAGTTAGATTTAGTTTTGTTCTTTCCACTGAGCTACAGGCAACCCACTTTAAAATTGTGTTCTGATAAAGCCCTATGGATTTTAAAGGTCACATTCTTTTCCTGGATGAATACATCATTCCCATTGATTCACCTGCTGTTACTGCAGACTCAGAGTATTACTGATGACATTAATTATGTTAATATTCAAAGGGCTCTTAGCATGAGCTCAGGCTTTTCTAACATGCTAATTTTTGAGATCCATTTAAAAATGCTGGGGAGACAGGGAGGAGCTGGCTGTTATTGCTTTGGAAAAGAGAATATCATTTTCTCTGTGCAATTCACGGTTCTGAGATGGTCCTGCAAGCAATGATGAGTTTTTCTAAGTTATTGATTGTTTTACTACCTAGGTTGTAAACCAATCTCCAGATGCAATCTTATGTTGCTTTCCTGCTAAGGCATTGGTATAAAGGAATTCTGTCAAGGCTATTCAGAGAAGCCAAAGAAAAGCCTAAAAAACACAGGCAGCAGAAAGCAGCATAAAACCACTACATTGCTTCAGCTTGCTTTTATTTGGCACTATTTGGCACAAAATGGTTCTAGAAACCATTTTAACATCTATTTCTAGAGGAAACAAAGCATTTTCTAATGGTAGCAAACAAAGCACTTCCACAGATCTGGCACGGATCAGTTTGCTCCCCCTGACAGGAACCCATCCCATAAGCCAGTGATTTGTGTGTAGATTTGATTTGGAGCTTATTCCCACTTCAATGTTGTATTCATTGTACCACAAGTGCGTTTTGGGATTTACTTTAAATTTTGTTGTTAGGTATCTCAAATCTTAGGGTTTGTGGGGTTTTTTTAGAGCTTAGAAGTGGTTAGTCTTTTTGAGTTGAGCTTAGTTCCCAGAGAAGTGCCTGGCATGTGCTCTGGAAGCCTTGTCTTGTGGCCTTTGCTGGATGTCAGGGTAACAGGGCAATTTCCTCATCTGCTGCAGGCAGGAGCTGTTCAGGAGTGTCACATGTTGCTTTTGTCTGAAGAAATCAAAGGTTGCTTGCAAATGCCTAAATTGGTTCCTAATACTCAGCAGTGACAAAAATTGCTGGAATTTCTAAGAGTTAAGCTTTTACAACACTAGACTCATCTGGACAGAGATATAAGCCTTGAAGCAATAGTGTCTACATCCCTTGTTCAACTGTTTGCAAACTACTGTAATTTATTCTTTTTTTACATTTTCCCCTCCTGATGACCCTTAGCTTCATCTACAGTTATGGACATTAGGTCTGTAACTCCTTCCTTCAAAATGTACATCCATTTGTTTCTTGCTCCTTTCGTTTGAGGAAGAGAGGAGAAGTTGGTGAAATGGAAGCCTGGCTTAGTTTGCAGTATTGCAAAACACATTCTCCCACCCTGCCTGCCCATGCCAGACACGTCTTCCAGATTCTAGGAGCTCTCCATCTTTATTGATTTTTACAAAAAGTACCTGCTTTTGTTAAGACTACTATAGCTGTCACCAATTCTGGTTTAAATATGTAAGATTTTGAGATATTTTGCTCTGAATATTTACAGACAGTTAACTGACAACAGTGAAAATTAAATGTAAACTAACTTAAAGCAAACTCTGTGCCTTATTTTGTTACCTGATGTCACCAGGATGCTATAGAATAGTGTATTAACTGTTCATTTTGATGAAAATAGTGAATAGCATCATTTTCTATTACAGTTAAGGTAAGATTGACATGGTATGCAGTAACTTGTTGACTGTCTTTCCAAATATGGGCCAAGAGCAGCCTTATCCAGGACTGTCTGATGGATGTCAGCTGAAAATGTGT